GTACATCCACCAATTTATATATATATATATATATATATATATATAATGAAAATACAACAAATCATCTTGTATCTTTTTGTACTCGGGTCAGATATCAGAATTGTGTCCTTAATGTTGACATGCTTTGTGACCTTTGACCTTTTTCTGTTATTGTTTCAGAGATCTCTGTTTCAACTCTGCTGTGATCTCTCCTCAACTTCCCAGCAAAATAGAGTCTGTACGTAGAGGTCCACCTGTGCTCACTCCCTTTCTTCTTATCTCTGTCTATACTTCTGTCAGATTATGTGTTTGTTTTTTTTTGGTGTATGCATGTATGGAAGTGTGTGTGTGTGTGTGTGTGTGTGTGTGTGTGTGTGTGTGTGTGTGTGTGTGTGTGTGTGTGTGTGTGTGAATGTTCATTAAAAGTGTCTATTTTTAATCAGTGCTTTGTACTGTAATGTGCAATTAATTGCTGCTTACCTCTTCAAAGTGGACTCGTCGAATCAAAGAACAAACTCCAAATAGACTAAATATTGCTGTAGGCTTTTATGCCTACTTTAAAATATATTTTCCATAATTTATCGCTGATTCTTGAGTACAGAGACAAAACTGGCTGTGGATTTGCTTGCCTGTAATTCAGTTTGGATGTTATATATTGTTTCTTCGCAATTTGTATGACCAAGCTAACATATTAAGGTTATGAAAAAATATACAAGCACAATAAACGAAATGGTACATTTATTTGAAGATCATCTGATTTATTTATTTATTTATTTATAAGTCCATTTTTTTCTGTGTTTTGTCCCATGTCTCAAAAATCAGTCTTATGCTAGTTCTCATAGCAGCTCATATTGATCTTTTGCTACTTACACTGTGGTCAAAATGTGTATATTTATTTTTTTAGGGTGCAAATATATAATCTGTGACAAAAGTGTAACAGTGACATTCTTTTTAGGAATATTCTTTATAAGGCAATTTATTTGTTATATAGAAACATAACCGGTGTATATTTCTCTTTAAATATTGTAACCTGCTGTCTGTGTTTACCAAAAACTGGTATTATAAACTGACATTTGAATGCAGCAGGTAGCCTACCATTATAGAACACCAGTTGAGAGAGAAAACTGAGTTATTTTTATCATTTGCATAACCATAAAATCATAACTAGTTTTTTTTGTTTAATGAAATAATATTTCAAAGTTTCAGTATTGTCTTGTATTGCACTGCTCTTAATATCCATTATTTAAGTTGATTTTTAATTGTTTATTTGCTGGCTTTTATTAAACAGTACAATGTAAAAAAACAACTAGTCTCTCCATTTGTTTCGCTGTCTCATTCGCACACACTCCCAAAGCTCATAAAACTTCAGCAGATTGTGATGGAAAGAGAACTGACATACAAATAATAGAAATAATAGGTTTGTACTGGCTCAGTCATTCACCTGCTAATCAATATGAGACAGGAACTTCATGGCACACTATTCATTCAGAGACAGCAACAAGCTCACTACGCTTTCCCCGCAGAGTGATTATTTTATCTGTCGGATGATCTCTGTAGTGAGCTGAGAAAGTCAACATAGAATTTGAATGGGGTATAGTTAAAGCTTTTTCTGTCATATCAGTTTCGGCTGGTATATCATTGATGGCTGCTACAGAATGTTAATGCTTAGCTGCTGTGTTTATGGATTGCTGTAGAAGCTGGTTAAAGGAATGCGATGTTACGTACACAAATAGGTCTGCTTTGCTTTTATTCAAGGATTCAGCTCCTCTTTTATATAATACATATAAATGAATCACGATGGAACCAGGTAAGTGTGGGGTCAGCAAGTTTTATTTATATATATATATATATATATATATATATATATAAGATAATTATATAATACATATATAATATATATAATAGACACAGATATACACACAAATACAAA